TCAGATGTTGACTCCTTTTCTAATGGGCCTGTGGACAGCAGGCTGCACTCTCTGCTGTCCCATAGTGGCTGAGATCATGGGACCTGGAGTCCAGCTGCCTGCTCTGGGCCTTACATCTGCCCCTCCTTACCACGTTCTCTTCTGTAAAATGAAATCATGCTAATACCTGCATCACACAATCTGCATAGAGTGAATGGAATACTTCAGGTGAAGTGCTGGGTGCATGGCGAATGATCAATACTTGTCAACTGGTACGATTATTTCCAGACCAGAGGCATTCAGACCTCCCTCTGTAGCTCTGTCTAACCCTATCTTACCCCTGACCTTATTACTTTCTACTTCTCTTTGCTGTGTGACCTTGGGTAAGTTACTCGGCTTTTATGAGCTTCTGTGGCCTTATTTGTGGGCTGTGAATATTAGCGGTAATCATCTTCAAAATTCACCCATAATAGTATTGATTTCTAACAGCTAAGGTTGTCCTGGGCAGGGGATTTGCTCACATTCTTCTAAAGTTCTTCTTAGCATCACGTAGAAATTCATTCCAGTGTTGACTCATCAAGACGGTCAGCAAATTCTTCACCTTATCCAAATGAGTTCTCTTTTGCTTTAAATTTCTATTTAAAGAAATCCTCTGCATACAAGGAAAGGATCCATTCGTTTTCTTTGTAAAACTCCTCTGTGTGCTTCAAGCAAGAATTAAGATAATTGTTACCCTCATCTCCTCCAAATCAGATAAGACACTACTTCAGAGCACTGCCGAATTGAGCCGATAAAAATACAGGACACCCAGTTAAATTTGAATTTCAGATGAACAACAAATAACTTTTCTTTTTGGTGTAAATAAGTCCCCACTGTTGCATGAACAAATATTGCATGGGACTTACATCTATGAAGATAGTCATTGTGTATTTGAAATCCAGATGTAACCAGGTATTTTGTTTTGGCAATGCTGTGCTGGGTAGAAGCCACACCCACAGGTTGACTAGTCTGGGCAAGTCCAAGGGAAGCAATCATTCTTCCCGGAAATCATTGAGAACTAACACCCTTCTCCTTCCTGCCTCTGTCTATGCCCAAAAACCCCTTTTAGTATTGGGAGGCGTGCCTGACCAGAAATTCTGTAATGTTTTCCTTGGGGTTGGTTTCCAGAGCCACTGTTTGGCAGCTTGGGCCTGTTTCGTAGTGATCGATTTCTGTATTGACAGAGCTATTGAATATTTGGTGATAACTATAATCATCTGTTCTAAGTCTGCGTTTCCTCCTGAATGAAGTAATAACCCCTGGTGTTTACTCTGCACTATTGGGAATGACGTATAACACTGCTGGGATGTCAAGTGTATATGACATGTGCAGCTGTGGTCACTTCCCTGGGCAGAGTCTTGCTACATGTGGAGTGTCCTTTATGCCGCCAAACAGGGTGCCTGGAGCTAGACAGAGCCACCATCCACTTTCCAGAGCCCAGAAACCGTGTCACCAAGGAATGATGTGACATCGGCCTTCCAGCCCAGGGCTGGGTGAGGATCTAGGAGACACAGCCAGCAAAGCCTGAGATGGCCACTGTGTTTCTTCCCCTGCTCTGCCATCCGGTGGGAGCTGGTGGGTGAAATAGAGCCCCTTATCTAAAATGGAGCCGCCTAACCTCCTGCTACAGAGGTGCCCACACCATTCACTTTCCTGGCTGTTTCCAGCGCCTGCCCTGCTTCTCTACCTGGCTGATTCTCAGAGCCTGTTTGCCTGTTTTCCTTCTTTCTTTCTCTTTCTGTATTTGTCTTTCTCTCTCTTTCCTTTCTTTCTCTTCTTTCTTTCTCTCTTTCCTTTCTTTTTTTCTTTTTCTTCTTTCTTTCTCTTCCTTCCTTCCTCTTTCTTCTCTTTCTTTTTCTCTCTTTCCCTTCCTTCCTTCCTTTCTTTTTCTTTCTTTTCTTTTTTTCTTGATAGAGTCTCACTCTGTCACCCAGGTTGGTTTGCAGTGGTGCCATCTTGGCTAACTGCAGCCTCCGCCTCCAGGGTTCCAGCGATTCTCCTGCCTCAACCTCCCAAGTTACTGGGATTACAGTGCCTGCCACCACACCCGGCTAATTTTTGTATTTTTAGTAGAGATGGGGTTTTGCCATGTTGGCCAGGCTGGTCTTGAACTCCTGACCTCAAGTGATCCACCCGCCTTGGCCTCTCAAAATGCTAGGATTACAGGCTTGAGCCACTGTGGCCATCAGAGCCTGCTACCTCCTCAAGCCTGGTGGGTTTCCCATGGTTTCCCATAACCAGCAATTCCTCGGTATCAGCTGTCTGCCTTGGACACCACCCCTGTGCCAACTGAGAGATCACGGATCTCCCTGGCATCCCTCCTTTTCCCTCTGCCAGCTCCCTGTCATGTCACTCTCCTATTTGGACTCAGTTTACCCATCATCCACATTTGCCACAAATTCCTTCGGCTTCAGACAAGTAAGCCACATGGATGTTGGTTTCCCTCAAACCTGGATTCCCACAGCAGCTTCTCCCCTGCCCAGTTCTCAGAACATGGACAAGGTTGCCAAACCTCGGTGCCCGGGTCTCAGTTGCTGCATCTGTTTTATAGGTGGCATATTTGTTCCCTATCACTATAAGAAATTACCACACATTTAAGGACTTAAAGAACAACACAAATTTTTTTTTATTTTTTTATTTTTTATTTTTTTTATTTTTATTTATTTTTTTTGAGACAGAGTCTCACTCTGTCGCCCAGGCTGGAGTGCAGTGGCTGGATCTCAGCTCACTGCAAGCTCCGCCTCCCATGTTTATGCCATTCTCCTGCCTCAGCCTCCCGAGTAGCTGGGACTACAGGCGCCAGCGACCACGCCTGGCTAATTTTTTGTCTTTTTAGTAGAGACAGGGTTTCACTGTGTTAGCCAGGATGGTCTCGATCTCCTGACCTCGTGATCCGCCAGTCTCGGCCTCCCAAAGTGCTGGGATTACAGGCTTGAGCCACCGCGCCCGACCACAAATTTATTATCTCGCAGCTCTGTAGGTCAGAGGTCTGGACGGACTAGGCTGAAATCAGGGTGTCAGCAGAGCATCGTTCCTCACTGGAGGCTGTGGGGAACACTCCGCCTCCAAAGTCATTCATGATGTTGCCAGGATTAAGGTCTTGTGCAGCGAGCTCTGCTCTTGTTTCCTTCCTCACTGTCAGCGGTGGGCTGGGGTGCTCGCTCAGCTCCCCCTCACCATTTTCAGAGCCAGTAAGGACACATCACATCCCTCTCACTCTCTCAATCTCTCTCCTCCCTCTACCCCATCTCTTCTTCCTCTAGTCAGAGAATGTTCTCTGCTTTTTTTTTTTTTTTTTTTTTTTTTTTGAGACGGAGTCTCGCTCTGTAGCCCAGGCTGGAATGCAGTGGCCGGATCTCAGCTCACTGCAAGCTCCGCCTCCCGGGTTCACGCCATTCTCCGGCCTCAGCCTCCCGAGTAGCTGGGACTACAGGCGCTGCCACCTCGCCCAGCTATTTTTTGTATTTCTTAGTAGAGACGGGGTTTCACCGTGTTAGCCAGGATGGTCTCGATCTCCTGACCTCGTGATCCGCCCATCTCGGCCTCCCAAAGTGCTGGGATTACAGGCTTGAGCCACCGCGCCCGGCCTGTTCTCTGCTTTTAAGGGCTTATGTGATTAGACTGGGCCCACCTTGAGCATCTCCCTATTTTAAAATAATTTCAATTCCATCTGCTAAGTCCCTTTTACCCAATTCTGGGGTAGAAGGCATGGATGTCTTTGGAGGGGGCATTATTCTACCTCCTGCAGCTGGGGGAACGATGCTATAGGGTAAAACAAGGCGCGTCCATTTCCCAAAAGGACACAAACCTGGTGGCTTAAAACCACAGGGATTTATTGTCTCACCGTTCTGGAGGCTAGAAGCCTCGAATCAAGTTGTCTGTGGGGCTGTGCTCCCTCTGAAGCCTTAGCAAATAATCCTTTCTCTCCTCCTGCAGCTCCTGATGGCTGCGGCCCTCCCTGGCGTTCCCTGGCCAAACGGGGTTTCACCATGTTGGTCAGGCTGATCTCGAACTCCTGACCTTGTGATCCACCCACCTGGGCCTCCCAAAGTGCTGGGATTACAGGCATGAGCCACCGCGCCCGGCCCAGAGACCTTATTTCTAAATAAGGTTACATCCATAGATATGGGGAGTTAGAACGATCACATGTATATTTTTTTGGCAGGGGAGGACGACGGTCACAACTGAACCCAAAACACAGGTAATGCTGGAGAAGCACTTAGCGCAAGGCCTGACCTCTGGTGTCCTTAATCTACAGTAGCAGCTGGCAATGTGCAGGTCAAGTCTCAGATGCTGTCTGGGTCCCTGTGGGTATGGGCTGGGACAGCAAGTGAATGTGTGATGAGAGCTTGAGAAAGCAGGCCCCCCCACCCCCAGCCTCCTTCCTGACTGCCCCTCCTATCTCATGCTCAGTTTCCCTCCACACCTCTACTCAGCCTGGCCCCCAGCCTGCGGTGCCCGCTCCCTTTTCCCAACCAATCCAAATCGGCATCCTGGCCATCCTTCAAGTCCCGCCTGCTCTGGGAGCCCTCACGTGTTGCACCCATCAGCAAGGTAGGTGATTAAAGATGGGAATGGACTGTACTGCTCAGCTGGTTGGAAACAGAGCTTGTCTATGAGGAAATGGAGACAGAAGACTCAACTCTGTCAGAGAGAAAGGAAGATAAAGCAAGGCGCTGACTCAGTGGCTGACAGGTTCAGAAGAAGAGTGATTTTCAGGCAAGAAATTGCACCCCCTGCCTATCTTGGTCCAATAACAATCCTTCTTGTAAACATGAACTGCTTTTCCTAGAAAGAACAACAATAATATCCAAGCACTCTTGCCAAGTTAGCCTTCCAGGGGCCATAATTCTTTGGGGTCTGCAGGACATACAAGCCCCTAGGTATTGGCAGCTTACCACCCTTGCGCATTTACTATGTGGGGGCCTGCCTTACAATGAGGAGGAGGAGAGGTCTGATAGATTCCATCAGCAGTCCAGGAATCTCAGTGTTCTTTTGTTGTTTTTATTTTTTTTGCACCTCCACATTTAATAAATGCAAACACGTGCAGACACAGAGCAGTCCCCAGCCACAAGCAGAGTTCAGTGGAGAGCGAGGGCCTCAGCCATCGTTCCGTCGGAAGCCTTCCAAACACTTCAGCATCCTGACCTCTCCTCATTTCCGGAAAAATCCTTAAGCTCACTTCCCCAGGCACAGATGGGAACAGAGCTGGGAGGATGAGGGACAGCTGTTGCTGCAGGGGGAACAGAAGAGACAGGCAGGATCGTTTTGGGTTGAAAGATGTCCCCAAGGGAAGTCATCCTCCCCCGCAGGACACCGCCCCCCCAGACTCTCACCCTAGTGGGGAGGGTCTCCAGAGGCTGGTCTGATTATCCTGGCATCACCACAGTGTAACCCGGGGCCTGGAAAAGACCAATAACCATTTATTACACGAATACATAAATGAAAACCTGGATGTGAGTTGAGGCCACCAGAGAAGATTCCGGAAGCCACCACCACTTGCAATCGAGGCTTGGTCTCAACCTTACTCTGGTCCCAGAAGGAGGCTGTTCACCTCCCACAGTGGGGCTCAGCCCAGGCCCCACTAAGGGAAGAGTATGTAATTAAATGGGGCCACCTTGGGGCTCAGAGCGCGGCCCCGCAGGTCAGAGCTGAGAGCCACCGCCACATGGGGCAGGAAGGCGGTTGCAGCTGTTTATGTAATGTGTATCTGGAGGATAAATAAACTTCATTTTCCAGGGCTGCCAATCTCTAAACATGCCGAAATATACATTCGCTCAGAAACTTTAAAAAAATAAACAAATGTGGTAGTGTTTGACCGACTCTTCCTAGCGTCACAGCCCTGGTCCTGACGACTCACCATTCAGCTGGTTAATAAACCTCATTTATGGATCCCCTCCTATGAGCCTGTGTGTAAAAGATCTGCTCTGAGGAATGTTCTGTTAAGATGTGGGGGAGGGACAGTCCAAGCAGCAGATCCTTCTAGTACAGTTGCCAGCAGAACCCAGGAGGCCCATGGTGCAAGCCAGGTACACGATCATCTTCAACTGATCCCGGAGGCAGTCACCAGCGCCTGCCAGCTGCAGCCCAGCCAAGAGCAGGTGAGGTTAGGTGAGCCAGGTGAGAGGCGACCTGAGACATTTAAGAAGGGATTACCTCTTTTTTTTTTTTTTTTTTTTGAGACGGAGTCTCGCTGTGTCGCCCAGGCTAGAGTGCAGTGGCCGGATCTCAGCTCACTGCAAGCTCCGCCTCCCGGGTTTACGCCATTCTCCTGCCTCAGCCTCCCGAGTAGCTGGGACTACAGGCGCCCACCACCTCGCCCGGCTAGTTTTTTGTATTTTTAGTAGAGACAGGGTCTCACCATGTTAGCCAGGATGGTCTCAATCCCCTGACCTTGTGATCCACCCGTCTCGGCCTCCCAAAGTGCTGGGATTACAGGCTTGAGCCACCGCGCCCGGCGGGATTACCTCTTAACTGTGACTCTGAGGCACCTTATACGGGCAAACATCTGCTACATCCCATGCCTATGTCCCCCCATGGGGCATGCAGACAGAGAAAGAGAAAATTCGGCTCTGGGCTTCACTCCTTCTCAAGCTGAGGCTGGCAGAAGGTACCAGGGGCTTCATCTCCTCCATTCATCTGTGCCATCATGAAGGGCATTATTCACGCACTTTCAGTCCACAAAGTGCTTTCCCACAGGGGCCCCATGAAGCCCTCTAAGGCTTCATCAATTCGTTAATTCATTAATTAATTCATGTATTCATTAACTGGTAGTGCATTTGGAACTGGGTCCTGCTCTGGCTGCTCATTGGCCACACAACGGCGAGTGAGACAGTGGCTGCCTTCAAGCGTCTTACAGTCCAGGGGACACAGAGGCCAGGTTTTGGGAAACAGACACCCAGAGATGTCTTGGGGATTTGGCCAAGGCCTCTTCTAGCGGTTAACAGAAAGGGACCCAGAGCCTGGGTCTGATTCATTGCTGGAAGGTCTTTCTACCATTCAGTGGGTTGCATTAACCTCGAGTTCAGGGTTTTGTGCTTGGAAAAGGAAAAAGAGAAAAGGAGGGAGGAAGAGAGAAAGAGGAGAGGGGAGAGGAAGAGAGAGGAGGAGGGAGAGCAGGGGAGGGCGTCTGAATGGCCATCCTAGGTCCTGGACTTGTCCAGCAGCAGTGACAGGACTCCGAAGTCAGGAATCCCTGTCCCCTTTGTCAGGCATCTGAGTGTCTGCCATGGTGTCAGCACCTCCCAGCACCAAGGTGACAGCATGGCTCCCACAGACAAACCAACCGCTGCGTGGGTGCTCAGAAAACTAGAGTGCAGCTCCAGCCCCAGAGGAAAAACTGGCGGTGCAGGGCTTATGGGAAACAGCACACAGTCTCCAAGCATCCCTCCAGAGAGCTCCAAGGGGAATTCTGACTAAACAAGATTTTCACCTTCAGTACTAACCTTAGACCCCAACCCCTACTCCCAACACCTCAGGCAGAAGGGGCCACCATGCCCCCAACACCCTGAAAGAGGGCTGGGCCTGTCACAGCTCTCATGTGAACACAGCCAGAACACTCAGAGGAAACGAACAAATTGCTTTGGCGGATGCTGCAGAGGCGCCCAGATCCTCTCTCGGCGCTAAGCCACTGCTGTGAGAGTTGGCAGTGACTCTCTGCCCAGTCCCTTGTGGGGAATTGCCCTGTATGGAAGAGATGCCCCTCCCTCCCCAACTGGTTGTAGGGTGACCAACGCATCCCAGTTTGCAGGGACTGTCTCAGGTTTGACACTGAAAGGCCCACATCCTGGAAGCCCCCTTAGTCCTGGGATGGGTGGTCACCCTAGTTGTTGAAGTGAGGGATGGCTGGTCACCTAGTTGTTGGGGTGAGGTGGGGCAGGAACACAGAAAGGCCTGGCCCCTCAACCAATGGGAGACAACTCTACAAGACCACAGTAGCCCCAGGTGCCTTTGCCTTGACTGAGGCAGGTTCACTGGCACCAAGTTCCACCTCCTTCACTCCTCCATGGCTGGGGATCCCAAGGCCAGCGCCTCAGGAAGCTTCCTGTGTACAAATCTTGACCCCAGAGTCTAGCTCATGGGGAATCTGACCTCAGGCAGGACCACAAGTTGAATCATGGTTTGGCAGTGTCTGGCATCTTGAGGCTGTCAACAGACACCACAGCAAGGTGCATCCGGGGACTGCAGGAGGGTGAGCGTACCATGCCCACCTGGTCCCCTCCCAAGAGGCTTTCATTCTGCCCTCAGTGACTCTCACTTGCCCCACTCATGGAAGATTGTTTGAAATAAAAGTGGATTCACATCTATTTAGTTCTGAAGCCTCTCTGGCATCCCTGGAATTGGCAAAGATGCCTAGGATGGGCTCCCCAAGGTGAGGCTTGGAGCAGCCACAGGGAATCCAGCAGTGGGAGGCACTCTGAAGTCCTGGGTACTCCAAGCCTTCCTTGACTTTCACTCATGTGAAAGATTAGTAAAGACAGTCTTTGGCATTTTGTCCATAGGGACCAAGATTTTACTTTAAAAAGCATCCAAATGTTGCTGGCAGGTTGGAGGTAGAGGCAGGAAAGATAAGTAAAAACATGCGATCCACATGACGCAAATAGTTTGAGAAGATCATCCAGGGAAGGAGAGGCTTCTTGATGCCAGAATTAGGACAGGGCTTTCCAGCTGACAAGGAAGGTCACCCACCTATGAGTAAAAAGTGAGTGGGTAAGGTCCTTTGCAAGGGCCCCTTTGGTTCTAATATTGAAAAAATCATCACCCAGGTCCAGTTTTCACTGGAAATTTACACCCTAGCCAAACACTGCACTTTGTAAGAAATTAGGAAAAGACATTTTCTGCCTTCAGAAATCTTAACAAACCCCACTATAAGTTTCATTTGTGCATTGTTGCATAACAAATGATACTAAAATATGGTAGCTTAAAACAACAATCATTTATCATTACTTGCAATTCTGTGGGTTGACTGGGCTCAGCTGGGTGGTTCTTCTGATCTATGGTGATGTCATCAGGGGTCACTGTCATCCAGAAGCTCAACTGGGCTGGAGTCAGCCCTCTCTCATTCACTCACCTACCTGGAAGTTCCTGCTGGCTGTCAGTCAGGGGCTCAGGTGAGCCGTTGATAGAAGCACCTCAATTTCCTTCCATATGGACTCTCTACTAGGCTGGAGCTTAACACAGCATAGCGCTAAATTCCAAGCAGGAGTTTTTCAAGCAAGGGAAAGCAAAAGTTGCAAATCTCTTAAGCCCTGACTTTGGGAGTTACACAACATCACTGTTGTCACATTCTAATGAGCAAACCAAGTCATATGCCAGCCAAGATGCAAGAGGAGTGGAAAGAATCTTCACCCCTTGATGGGAAAGGTGGCAGAAACTTTGCAGCCACCTTTTAACCCACTGCAGGTGGTCACCGTTAGGGAAATAGAGAATGAAACCCAACTTTGGTGACATTATTATGGTGCTAAAGACCCCAGTTCACGGGCTGAGGAGTCACAACAAATCGAGTGGAGGAGCAGTCACATCACAACTGGCAGGGAGACCAACAACCTGAGGGCACAAAGCTATGGATACAGGAGAAACCTCTCCTCTTTTACTCCCTGTGTGAGCAATGATGACAGGAGTGGAGGCCTGGTGTTTTGAAGTCCATTGACCTGGTCTAGCCACCTTTTTCTTTCCTTCTTTTGAGTCTGGATAGGATGTTCCTCATGCAAACAGGAAGTCTTCTTTAACTGCAAACTCCTACTTCAAGTCTCCTGGTGAGATGAGACTAGGAAACCTACTTCCTCTCCGCACCTTTCAATTCCAAGCTCCAAACACATCGTTCAACACTTGTTTTCCACAAGAAGTGACAATGCTGTGAACTAAACGAAGTAGAACTTCATCCTAGGGCTTAATTCATGTGTGGTAAGTTAAGACTACATAGATAGGCCGGGCACGGTGGCTCACGCCTGTAATCCCAGCACTTTGGGAGGTGGAGGCAGGCAGATCAATTGAGGTCAGGAGTTTAAGACCAGCCTGGCCAACATGATGAAACCATTTTTACTAAAAATACAAAAATTAGCCAGGTGTGGTGGCACATACCTGTAGTCCCAGCTACTCGGGAGACTGAGGCACGAGAATTGCTTGAACCTGGGAGGCAGAGGCTGCAATGAGCCAAGATTGTGCCACTGCGCTCCAGCCTGGGTAACAGAGTGAAACTTCATCTCAAAAAATAAAAAGTAAAAAAAAACTACATAGATAGAAAGTGCACATGGAAGAGAGGGGAACATACTTGCTGTTTTTTTAACTCCTCTTTTAAAAACTTTTTTTTAAAAAAAACTTTGTTTTTCACCATCCCTCTCCGATTTCACATCGGAGCAAGCTGGGAGGATGGGTGTGGACATCAGAAATAGCTTTAAATGCCTCCCCAATGAGGAAGGTGAAAACCACACCAGATTTCCAGAAAGTGATTTCTCACCCACAAGGCAATTTCAGAAGACATGAGGGCAAAGCTTAGCAGCCCTGGAGGGCCACAGCCCCCGTGCGTCTCCACTAGTGCAGCAGTCTGCTTTCTGCATATTGTTCTACTTTCTTGTGCAACATGTTCCCAAAACCAGTTTACAACCAAGCTGGAATGAAACAAAAAAAGAGTTGGTCTCCACATCAAGGCACATCTGGGAGGTAATTGGAGCATTTGATAAGAAGACATTGTGTGGACAAACCCTGCAATAAATAACCAAGAAACTCCAGACGAGTTCCACAGAATTGGAGATTTGTTTATTCATTCATTCAGCCAACATTTATCAAGTACCTGGTGTGCCAGACCCAGGGACAGCAGCAAATGTGAGTCTTGGAGGTGGGGACACAGGTGTTGAACTAGCAATGACAAGTGTTGCCCTTCAAGAATGGGTCACTTCCTGCAAACGTGAACCGTGTGTGGCCAGCACTTTGGGAGGCTGAGGCGGGTGGATCACCTGAGGTCAGGAGTATGAGACCAGCCTGGCCAACATGGTGAAACCCTGTCTCTACTAATAATACAAAACTAGCCGGGTGTGGTGGTGGGCGCCTGTAATCCTAGCTACTCAGGAGGCTGAGGCAGAAGAATTGCCTGAACCTGGGAGGCAGAGGTTGCAGTGAGCCGAGATTGTGGCATTGCACTCCAGCCTAGGTGACAAGAGCAAAACTCTGTCTAAAAAAAAAAAAAAAGTGAACCATGTGATCCATTGTATCAGTAAAAACTCACAATTTTGATTCTCCAGCTACTGAAAAAGTAATCTTTTATGAACAAATGATTCAAGGGCCAAAGCTGCCTCCTGCTGTGTTTTGATTGCATGCCACCCTACACTTGTGATGGCGACCCAGCCACCAAATATCATACAAAGATCAGTCTGAATTTTGCACTACTGAAGAGTTGTCAGTAAAAGGACACTTGACCACAGAGAAAAACAAGTCATCCTTCCATAACTTGGCCCCTAGGGACCATCAGTTTAGTAACTCACCATTGCTTGGCATTTTTTTTTTTTTTTTTTTTTTGCCGAAAGAGAGGGCCAGGCTGGAGAAGGGGTTAGGGGAAGAGCTACGGATCTCCCAGGGGATGCAATGTCACCCCAGCTCAGCCACTGGGGGGCCAAAGGCAGGTCTCTGCTCTTCTCTGGCTTCAGTTTTTCCATCTGTGAAACTGGGTAGGAGGGATTTATTGACCAAGGTCTGTCATTGAGTAATTCTTTAGGAGCAACAAGGAGGCAGCTGGAGAGGGGTTGGCCTTAGGGAGGAGGCTCTGGTCCCCAAGCCACACTGTTGCTCTAGGGATCCTTCTGCTGTTATCTGTTTAGCAGGATAAAAAGTCTTGTGTGGGCTGGGGAAGGTTGCTGGGCTCCGGGGAGGACTCAGGGTGCTGTGCCCAGTACTATCAGGCTGGCCCTGTTGCAGGAACATGACTGGCTTTGGCATTACTCTGATGAACCATCAAGCCCCATCATGAAAGGGGAGACACAGAAGAGCTTTTGTGCATGCAATCTAAAAAAGGTGAGCACAGAACAAGAAGGATGGAGGGAAAGGGATGCCAGAGCAAGTGCCCAGAGTGGCCCAGGAGGAAGACCCTATCCCCTTGAGGGCACCTGTGGTTGGGAGGCCTGAGCTGGGCATGTCAGCGTCCCCCGATCTGGAACCCGAGAGCATGAACACCCCGGATACATACATCATCTAGATCGGGTTTCTGCATCAGATTTCATTTACAAAGGAGTTTCCCTGCTGAAATAAATGTGACAACCACATTCTTTAATCACAGTGCTTGCTGGCGACTGGAGATTTCTTGCAACAACGCTGTATCCCACCCAGTCACATTGCTACTGACGCCAGCCTTGCACCTGGGCTAAAACATTCACAGGGGAGTGAGAATGACAAGAGTTGTCTCTAAGGACCTGAACAAGAGGGCAGCCAACTTGTCAGCCAAAGCGCCTACCTATTTCCCTCCTTCTTCCCCTTTCTCTATCTTCATTCCTTCATTCACACATTTATCCAACCCACCAGCCAACCTACTCATATTTTTTGAATGCCTACCTTGTGCAGAGCTATGGGCAAGACACTATGAATTCAGCACTGACTGAGAAAGTATCTTTGCCCCCACATGATTTACATTCTGGGGGAGATAGACAATAAACAAACAAATAAGACAGTTATTGATTGCAGCAAAAGCAGAAACAAATGTAAAGTAATGGAAGTAGAGAGTAGATGAGGGGCCTCATCCTTCTTGGTCTTGGACCCTAATCTTCTGCAGGTGGGCAGCCACATCCCAAAGCAGGACTCCATTCATACTTCAGTGTGTGCACGGAGCACTTGGGGACCTTGTGGAAATGCAGAAGCTGACTCAGTAGTTCTGGTGTGGGACCTGAGATTCTATATGTCTACCAGTTCCCAGGTGATGCAGGGCCATGCTTTTCACAGTGTGGGTCCACAGAACATGGACTACTCCTTGCCAAGCCCAGACGATGATGATAGCCCCTTCCCCAAGGATGGCACGCGAGGGAAGCTGGGGAGGGAGCCTGCAAAGACCTGCAGAACTTCCGAGGTTGGAGAAGCCTGCCTAGACCCATGAGCAGCTGCAGAGCTGTACCCTGCAAACCCAAGCAAGTGGCTTTAGCAGGAGCTGCAGTAGAGCTCAGAGGTGTCCCAATCAGCTGCCAGGGATGCCAGGAAACTTAAGCAAAGACATCTGCCTTTGCCATTAAAAAAAAAAAAAAAAAAGCAGTATCTCTTAGCTGGGTATGTGTGGTGGCAGAGATAAGACAGCTCTATGATGAAGGTGGTTTTGAGATGGACTGGACCAGAAGCCATGAGATGGATCTCTGCACCTTGCCCCTTTGCCCACCTTGCTCCTACTTCTTTCTTCCTAAGTTCCAAAGAGCTGCACTCAGCCCTCAGGTCTCAGCATGCTGTGGAAAGCACACGTGTTTGGAACTGATGGCACTTGAGCTTCAGCTAAACCCTAATAAGCATCACCCTCCCAGCCCTGGTGGTCCCATCTGTGCACCAAGCCAACATTGCCTGCCTGCTTTCCTTGTGGTATCATGGTGCTGATCAGAGGAAACAGATGCCATTAATATAATAAGCACGTCCAATCTAGCAGCCTGGAGTTTACCCAGCCTCGAAATAGACAGAGGGAACCCCTAGCTGAGGGAAGCTGATTAGGAGTCAGCCATGGGCCGGGCACAGTGGCTCATGTCTGTAAAACCAGCACTTTGGGAAGCCAAGGTAGTGGATCACCTGAGGTCAGGAGTTCGAGCCCAGCCTGGCCAACATGGTGAAACCCCGCTTCTACTAAAAATACAAAAATTAGCCACACATGGTGGCACATGCCTATAATCCAAGCTACTCTGGAGGCTGAGGCAGGAGAATCACTTGAACCCAGGAGACAGAGGTTGCTGTGAGCTGAGACTACACCATTGCACTCCAACCTGGGCAACAAGAGTGAAATTCCATCTAAAAAAAAAGAGTTGGCCAGGCATGGTGGCTCATGCCTGTAATCTCAGCACTTCGGGAGGCGGAGGCGGGCGGATCACAAGGTCAGAAGATTGATACCATCCTGGCCAACATGGTAAAACCCCTTCTCTACTAAAAATACAAAATTAGCTGGGTTTGGTAGCGCGTGCCTGTAATCTCAGCTACTCAGGAGGCTGAGGCAGGAGAATCGCTTGAACCCGGGAGGTGGAGGTTGCAGTGAGCCGAGATCACGCCACTGCACTCCAGCCTGGTGATAGAGTGAGACTCCATCTCAAAAAACAAACAAACAAACAAACAAAACCATCAGCCATGGCCTGTAGCGGTAGGGATTCCAGGAGGCCTCTATGAAGCTGAAATAGTTAGAATAAAGCACAATGATCAGGAGTCATGAGAAAATAGGCTTGTATAAATATCACTCAAAATCAGTATCTAGAACAGCACCCAGCACACAGGAGACTCTGCTTAAATGACCGCAGGTGAACACAACCTGCCTCTCCCACCATTCACTCACACCCTCCTACTGGATCTTTGTTTGGTTTCTTTAGCTCAGAGTCCCTGCATGGAGCAAACCAGTTGTACCTGGAAAAGTTGTGCTGTCTCTTTAAGTCCCTCGCGAGTCTCCCGACTTTCTTTGGCATCAGTATTGGGCATCTCTGGGAATCTGACCCACATCTGTGCAGAATAAAGCACAATTATCAAGCTGAAACATGCCCTGCACCCAACACACCTACTTAATTGGTGCTTTACTTAAGCTAATGTTTCAGATTATTTGGGCCTCCCCAATGCATCGAGTTGAAAAGGCAAAGCTCATTTGCTGCGAGTGTCCCTTGATGCCTCGTGTGCCTCGTATGCTCCACACATGCATGAAAGCCTTCCAGGGTGTGCGTGGGCATGAACCTAATTAATAATGCTTTTTGCTTCTTAGCAATAGCCAGCTTCATAGGCAGAGCTTTTTGAACTTGTTTCTGGAAACCTCTTCTGAACCACAGGACTAGAATAGAATAGCAGACACTCTATAAATATTTGTAGAGTGACCGAACAACACAGAGGGGGCAAAGCATAGTGGCTAAGAGGTATTAAGACGTTGGCTTCAGACAGATCTAGGATCTGGGTGTGAGTATCAGCTCTGTGGGGCCTGAAGCTGTCTAAACACATGTCTTCATAAGCTGAAGTGATTAACTAAAATCATATTGATAAAGCACTGTAACTGGGAAGGAGGAAGTACTTTAAACATGTTAGTTGTTGAAGGTGACTATATACATGATTGCTGACCAGGGACACTTTTGATAGTGAATAGGGGACTACAATAATGATGCCAGGGCCAGGCACAGTGACTCACATCTGTAATCCCAGCACTTTGGGAGGCCGAGGCAGGTGGATAACCTGCGGTCAGGAGTTTGAGACCAGCCTGGCCAACATGATGAAACCTCATCTCCACTAAAAATATAAAAAATTACCCAGACATGGTAGTGTGTGCCTGTAACCCCAGCTACTTGGGAGGTTGAGGCAGGAGAATCGCTTGAACCCGGGAGGCAGAGGTTGCAGTGAGCCAAGATCAAGCCACTGCACTCCAGCCTGGGCAACAAAGCAAGACTATCTCAAAAAAAAAAAAAAGCCGGGCGCGGTGGCTCAAGCCTGTAATCCCAGCACTTTGGGAGGCCGAGACGGGCCTTTCACGAGGTCAGGAGATTGAGACCATCCTGGCTAACACGGTGAAACCCCGTCTCTACTAAAAAAAAATACAAAAAACTAGCCGGGCGAGATGGCGGGCGCCTGTAGTCCCAGCTACTCCGGAGGCTGAGGCAGGAGAATGGCGGGAACCCGGGAGGCGGAGCTTGCAGTGAGCTGAGATCCGGCCACTGCACTCCAGCCTGGGCGACAGAGCGAGACTCCGTCTCAAAAAAAAAAAAAAAAAATCGTAACAGAATAGCAGGTGTAAACCAGATCTGGCCCAACAACCAAGGGTTGTGGGTACCCTGGATATTATTAGTTAATAGAGGAGATGCTTAGAGATCATCAAATCCAGCATATTTATTTGACATATGAAGCTGGTGAACCTGAACAGGCTGAGTGACCCAAAGTCACACTGCCTATTAGCAGAACATTGCTTCAGGGTCACACTGGTTTTGGTCCCAGGCTCTGGGTCCCACTTGGGGAGCTAAGCTTCCAGCTGTTGTCTCCATGACACTGCAGAAAAGAGCTCTGAGGAGGTGGCCTCTAAGCCCCACCAAGGTTCGGAAAGATCCTAATTTACAAAGGATGGCAGCGAACTTCAGAGAGCTTAAAAAACCTCTCTGAGATGGCCCCATGCCACACAACAGCGTGTGATGGCTAACAATGTGTCTCCTTCAGGCCTGGATTCTCTTGCACTGCAGAAGAAGTTGTCGTCATGTAGACTCTTTTTTTTTTTTTTTTTTTTTTTTGAGATGGAGTCTCACTCTGTCGCCCAGACTGGAGTGCAATGCTGCAATCTCGATCTTAGCTCACTGCAACCTCTGCCTCCTGGGTTCAAGCGATTCTCCCGCCTCAGCCTCCCGAGTAGCTGAATTACAGGCACCCACCATCGTCCCTGGCTAATTTTTGTATTTTTGTAGAGACAGGGTTTCACAATGTTGGCCAGGCTGCTCTTGAACTCCTAACCTCAGGTGATCCGCCCGCCTCAGCCTCCCAAAGTGCTGGGATTACAGGCGTGGGCCACTGCGCCGGGCCACGATGTAGATTCTTATACCAGGAATGGTAGTTAGCGTCCTAGTTTCGGTGATACCAACAACCTACTTTCAGCTCCCCCGTCTTCTTTCGGCGTGTTGGTTTCAGAGATCACTGGTTCATCCTGACTATTGGTACATCCGGGTCAGAATAAACTTCTCCCATTCATGTCTCTATCATAGTATAATTACTTTTTTGTTTATTTATTTAGAGACAGAGTCTCACTCTGTTGCCTAGGCTGGAGTGCAAAGTGCAATGGGGTGATCTCAGCTCACTGCAACCTCCTCTTCCCAGGTGCAAGCGATTCTCCAGCCTCAGTCTCCCAAGTAGCTGGGATTACAGGTGCACGCCACCATGCCTGGCTAATTTTTGTATTTTTAGTGGAGATAGGGTTTCACTGTGTTGGCCAGGCTGGTCTCAAACTCCTGACCTCAAGTGATGTTCCCACCTTGGCCTCCCAAAGTGCTGGGATTACAGGCGTGAGCCACCGCACACAGCCTAATTACTTGTTTATATGTCTGTTCCTAGAGACTCCGTTATTTAGAGACAGATGCCATTCCTGGCACAGTGGGTGGGATACCATGGCTCTCAGGTAAACATTTGCTGAATGTCATTGTTCTCAATGTCTGTCACGTTGCTTACCATTGGGAGGAGCTGACAATGACCTAACTTTCCCCGTCAAGATGCAAGAACTCTCAAAAAGACCCCCAAACATCCCTGCCGAATGAAATGTCTTACCTCCAGTCACACCTCCAGTGAAAAATGATGGGTGGCACCCCACCCCCCTGCTAAATAACTCAGCCTAATTTACACCTGATACGTTTCCCCATTCAGGCCCTTTTTCCAAAGCATTTTCGTTTCTCCCTTAAATCCTGGAAAATCACTATTTATCTCATCTCTGAGCTGGAGCCGGCTCTCCTGGTTCACAGGAGCCTACTGTGTACACCTCTTGCCAAGGCCATGTTTAGGGAGGACACATGGATAGCTTGAAATGAGCCATTCTGGGAGTATTTACACCATGGAAATCGGCAAACATACAAATCAGGGCTTTTTGAAACATTTCTTAGAAAACCAGTTGTTAAACATTTGTCAGCACACCACTGCCTGTGTGACATCAAGCCCTCCTTGCCCTCACTCTGCCTGCTTCTACCTGTCTTAATGCTCTTGAGCCACCAGTCCGTCTCTCCAGTTTCGACTACGTTATCCATTTTCTCCCAAGACCCATCTGAGTGCCTCTCAACCCTTCTGCTTGTCCCTGCCAATTGTGGGTAGCCAGCACGCCACGGTAGAAGAGGTATTATCTATAACAGAATCTCTTACAGCCAAGTCCCCCCACCCCAAATGAGTCAGTTCAGCATGCTGCTTGTAAAAATGTGTTTACAGAATGTCTTTCAGATCCGTGCTTTGCACATGCCTTCACTTGCTAAAGAATTATCCAGTTCCCCTCCACTTTCCTGCTCTCATGTCCCAAACAAAGTATGATCATCACATTTCTAAATCTCCAGCACACCCTGGGTCTTGTCAGGCAACCACATACGGACTGAATTTCTTTTACATAGGCTAAAATTTCTCATCTCTCAGCTTAGTCTTTATGGCTTTGACTAGGGGAAAAGGCACTCACCACTCCCAAGCCAGGCTGCCAAGAAAAGGCTCAGCAGAGCCCCCCAAGTCTCTTTTTGAGGAACGCTCTGATTTACAGAATTAAGTTACGGCCCGACTCTTCAAACGGATAATCACAGACTATAGCAAAACTCTGAGACTGAAATGTGAGCAGCCGCTTTGCAGCGTGCACTGTGATTTTTAGCAAAGCCTGCTTAAATTGCGATGCTCTCGTCACAGCCCTGCCTTTCATTTCTGTCAGTTTCCAGGCACTGGGGCTCTTTTCTTTGGAGAATGATACATCCAGGCTGGGACTTCAACTGGCTTTCCCCATCAACATTTCTTTACAACATTTTTAAAAATCAGAGATAAAGTTTTACTTGAAGTCTTACATAACTCTATCGCCCGCCCTGCTAGTCCTGACTCAGCTACAAAGGACTGGGTTGAGGGCTGCGTGCTTCCCTGAGAAGACGTAAGCCTTTTAAAGCAATGAAATGATCACTTCTTATTAATTTAGCTGTAACTCAATTATTTTGGAAACAAAACAAAGAAACTGTGGAAAGTCTTGCTAAAAATAGCAAATCAATGAAGTGGAACGGTTGGTTTTAAGACAATTAATTATGCAACAGTAATGTTCTTAATCATCTCTAAAGGAAACTATTTGCTCACAGTATTAGAAGAGATCAAGCAAGGACCTTGCCATCCGCCCCCCTAGTCCCAGCGCATCATTTAGTGCCCTCTGGGGCTGGTTGTTTCTAACTGGTTTTCACTGTGGGAAGACGGAGTGGGACTAGGGGAGTTGCAAGCCCTATTTTAGCCACCTGGGTATCATCAAGGAAGAAGAATTCAAGCATATTCCTTTCGTCAATGGCTGCTTTCAGTGCGGACGAAAACCCTAGTGCCCACCCAATTTCCCCTCCTCATCATTACACAAAATCCCTGTGCTAGAATACACAGGCAGACAGACCCTGCTTCCAGCAATTGATGTGCGTGTCATAAAGTAGGGACTGACAGCGCACACACCCAGTGGAGTCCAAGTACACACAACCTCACACAGCATGAGCATTACTTAGCTCAGCACCACCATCTGGTTCCCAGTCTTCATTACGGAGAAGACTTGCATTTATTGAATGCTTGCTGCATGCCAGATGCAGTTCTAGGCACTGTACACACATCCAGTCTTTTTAAATTCGGTGGTCAAAGGAATATAACATAAAGTGTACCATATTGGTCTTTTTTTTTTTTTTTTTTTTTTTGAGACAGAACCTGGCTCCATTGCCCAGGCTGGAGTGCAGTGGCATCATCTCAGCTCACTGCAACCTCCGCCTCCCAGGTTCATGCAATTCTCCTGCCTTAGCCTCCCAAGT